CTCGTCAACATCTTCCTGCCCCGGGGTCTCCCAGATTCCCAGCTCCTGACCCTCCCCTCTGTGAGAATCCTTGGCCTATTGTTGGGTTAGTCTTTAAGTTAAAGTTTTAGAGTATGGTTTTACAGTTAAGAGGATGTAGAACAGTTACTGGTGATATGTGGTAATATGTTATATCCTGTGGATTCTGTGCTGGAGTTAGCAGCACAGGGGCCCTATCTCTACATTCAACTCTTTATTTTCATTGTCTACATTTGATGTGAAACTCTTCTGTGCTTGGGATGCAAAGGTTTTCGCCCATTTTGTGGCGTTAGTGTCTGTCAGATAAAGGATATGCAAATAATAAATTTAGTTACTATTTTAGGAGTCTTCATTAGAGATCACCCATTACATTAAGTAAGCATCTAGTTGGATATATTGGGGTTGAATTTGACTTACATGCAACTACATAAGTCCTGTAAGCCCATTATTTCTAGTTTTTATGAGAATAAGTTGGTATTCAAAGTAATTGTGAGACCTGCAAAAGGTCACTTATGTAATGAGTGGTAGAAGATAACCTTTAATCCAACTTTATATGATATCCAAGTCTCCTCCACACACAGCTGTGACAGACATTGCTGGTTGCCCAGCTAACATCCATTTCCCCATTTTTCTCTGCTAACCACACCCAGTTCTGTTTAGTTCCTCATCCTTCAGGAAAGATGTTCCTCTCCATCTCTGGGGGGAAGATCCTAATCATTTTACCAGTAGCTAGAATCATCCTTGCTTTACAAGGGATGGTTTTAGCAGTGGGACCTGACGAAATCCTAGACAATAACACTCGGGGAACATATCCTGAAGACTTCTGGGGTAGCTATCGATGCTCTTAAGAATGAGAATCCAGAGAAATGGAGTGTCTGTCTCTGGACCAGGTCACATCTGTAAGTGTTGCTTCCAGATTCTACCCAATGTCTGTGTGACCCCCTTGTCCATGTCAGCTGACCACATTTCCTCACACTGTGGCCTGCAAGCTTTCTCAGAGACATCCAGGGTGGCCATTAAAATGCACATTCATGAACCCCATTCGAGAATCTCTTTACATACAAGCTAGGGTGCTTTTCTGTGACCACAGAGATTTGAGAATCATCTTAGCTCAGGCTATTCTGCCTTCTGAAAAGAAAGAGGAATTTTCAGCCTCTAGTCACATCTAATACTCGTAATAATATTGCACGACATCCATTATCATCTTCTTTTACAAGGGGAAGCCATGGCCCTGGGGTTTCAATAGTTTGTTCACTGTCATGCCCAGCCCGTCATGGAGGCAGCAAGGTCTAAAACCAAATTGAATCAATCTCAGAGGCACTGCATTTGCAACTCTCAAGTGCTGCCTTTTAAAGGGGCTCCCCCCAAAGTTATCGGGAGATGAGCATATCCAGTATGACAGTTTACCTCTTGCCCTCTCTCCTTCCCTTTCATCCTTTCTCTTTTCTTTCTGTCTTCCTTAGTCACTTTCACTGAGTCTTCCGTGGGATACGGCTAAATATAGTGTGTAGTTTCCCATCCTTGGCGCCATTGACATTGGGGCTGGGTAATTCTTTTTTTCGTGGGACTGTCTAGAACATTCTAGGATGTTTAGCTGCATCTCTGGTCTCCTGCTAGATCTCACTAGAAACGCCCCCTAGTCATGACAACCAAAAGTGTCAAATTCCCCTTGGGGGGAAGGTCACGCCCCAGTTGAAGGTCACTGTTCTAGTGTACAGTTCTGGGCATGGGAGTTATGTCATTCTGTATTCTCATCTTATGCCTGACACCTGCCCATTAGGAGTACTTGTCAGTGACATCTCTTCAGTTTCCTCTACAGAATGGGATGGCTTTTTAGTGAAGTCTGGTTTGTACGTGAGGAATAGATGAGAATACACATGGAAATCTTTTAGGCTGAACCCATAACTTTAACACATGGGGACTCTTGTGCTGTGTCCTGGGACTCCATCCACTTGAATAGCTCAATTTCATGCTCAATTTCAGATCTGGAACAATACTCATAACAACGGTATTTACTACTTTTGCATGTTTTGTATGTGCCAAGAGCTCTTTTGTCACCGCCACTCCTCTCCTATGGCTCCTGAGGATTGCACGAGTGAATATATGTGAAGCATTAAGCCTACTGTTGACATCATCAATATAGAATTATGTTAGTTATAATTAGTATAACTATTGTACAGAGGAGAAAGCAAAGACATAAACTGGGTTCATTAACTGTTTAAAGCCCCCAGTTAGGAAGAGGGAGAGCCTGAATTTGAGCTCAGGCAGAGGAAATCCACCAAAAATTTCCCCTTAACTTCCTCTTACCACATCTTTCTTCAACAGACTCAGATCTGTCCCCATCACTCAGCACACTACAATCATTCAGGATATGTGATCGATAATCGTTAAAGAATTGGTTGAAAATGTTGACATAACCAGAAGGATAATAGTGCCCTGGCAGGTGGGGAAAGCACAGTGAGGCAGTTGTGAAATTATGGTTCCACCTGGCTGCAGGGTGGGGGAAAGAATCTGTGTCCCTCCGGTGGTACTAGGGTGGATTATGATGGCTGCTATTGGATTAGCCCCTGAAAGATGCCAGTCATTGTACATTTTATCATCTCCAAAGGTAACATCCTTGCTTTTGGGTAAGTATCATCATCGCGTAATACAAGAGGAAACCGTGGCCATGACAAGGGAAATAACTTGCCCAATGTCACAATTATTATGGGGTGCTACTGGATTTATAACCACAGATTTCACATGGAAACTAAACACTTCCTCATTAGCTTACTCTTATTGCTTCAGCATATTTGTTTTCCCATGCTTGAAATAATTATTTTAGTTTTGCTCTCTCTTCAAACCACCTAAGTTTCCAATCCCTGCTCTTATCTGTGCCCTTGCCTCATATTTCAGGAAAAAATGGTAAAAACTAGTTTTGAACTTTTTAGCCTTCTATCACCCAACCCGCCATCTATCTGTACCTGTTATGGTGAGTAGAGAGTTCTGGTTCATCCCAGTTCATGCAGTGAGTCAAGGGTTCTCATTTATTCCCTCTGCACGTTTATTTTGAATCCCTCTCTCTCACACCTCCCCAAGAATCTCTCCTGCACTATCTCTTTTCTTTTCTGCCCCCGCCCTCCCCCCAAAAAAACCCCAAGATTTTCTTTTACTAGATCATTCTATAAAATAAACATGATCCATGCCCTCTCTCGACAAAGAGTTTATCCTTGGCCCATATCCTTTCCAGCTTCAGCCTTGTTTCTTCTAAGAAAATTCTTTCAGTGAGGAGGATTCACAGCCCGCATATTAAGAAGCAGTGTGGCCACCTCCTCACCTCAGCTTTTCTCTTGGACGTGCTTCAAGTTGGTTCGGTCCTGAGCACTCCATGGACTGTTCTCCCCTTAAGGATTTTTATCGTCCTCTTGTCACCAACTCCAGAGGTGCCTTCTTAGTTCTTATCCTGATTTCTCAGTGACATGGGACCCAGTAGACCCCTTCCTCCTTCTTAAAACTCACTTATCCTACATTTTGAGAAGATAAAATGTACACACACTCTCTTGGTTTCCTTTATAGCTCAACTGGCCACCTCTTCTCAGTCCGAAGTGTGAGCTTTTTCTCCTCTAAATTCTTCTGTAAATTTGGGGGTGTCCAATGGCTTTTCCTGCCTCCCCCTTCCTCTAGTTTTTCCATAGGTGCTGTCATCCAGTCTCATGGCTTATAATATTGAACCGATAACTTCTGATCTAAATAATTAGCCTTGGCTTCTCCCCAGACCTCTAGCATAATATAACCAATTACTTCTTGACATCTCCCCATGGAAATCCCATAGGCACCGCAAACCCAACAATGCCTACACCAAACTCTTAATTCTTCCATCCTCCCATATCTGGCACACTCCCAATAATCTATGTCAATTTGGAGTTTAAACATTCAGTTG